AACAACGATTTTTAATTAGAAAAACAAAGTTATTTTAATTTTTAAAAATGAATTCCTCTGTGCTCCTTAATGGACTGGATTACTGTACTCTTTGCAACAGTATCTGAATAAAGTGCACAAAGTACAAACCCCAGCCACTTTCCGTAAAACTGTACAGCTTGCCAGAACCTGCCTCCAGAACCTGCCTCCAGACCATGACAATGACTAAACGACAGATTAAGAGGACTCCATGGTGTGGAGGGCCTTTCCGGCACAGCTGCCAAGGAAGCAGGTGCAGTCGATGTCCTCGGGGATTCCTGCGACCCCCTGGGTCACGTTCTGCTGAGCGAGGGGCACACCCCACAAGCACGCCCAGGGCTCCGGGTCTGCTCCCCTCGCCGTACAGACGCCTGGGTGGGTTTACCCGTCTGGACTTGAGATCCACTGCTGTCACCGAGTCAGCTCTGACTCGCAGCAACCCCTGTGCATCAGGAAGAGACACCGCCCTGTCCTGGGCCGTCCTCCTGGTGCCGGAGCCCATCGGCTCAGCAACTGCTGTCAATCCACCTCACTGAGGGTCTTCCCCCTTGCGCTGACCCTCTACCCAGCGTGACGCCTTCTCAGGGACTGTCTCTTCTGACAACGTGACCAGAGTCCAAGACACGAAGTCTGGCCGTTCTCCTTTCTAAGGAGCATTCCGGCTGCACTTCTTCCAGGACAGACTCGTTAACTCTTCTGGCAGGCCATGGTGTTTTTAATATTCTTTGCCAACATCACAACTCAAAGGCATCAACTCTTCTTTGGCTTTCCTTATCCACTGTCCAGTTTCACATGCATCTGAGGTGACTGAAAATACCGTGGTTTGGGTCAGGCGCATCACAGTCTTCCAAGTGACATCTCTGCTCTGTAACACTTAAAACAGGTCTTTGGCAGATTTGTCCAGTGCCTGTGTCGTCTGATTTCTTGACTGCTGCTTCCATGCAGAGTCTTTCTGTGTGCCTCATTAATGTTAATTATACAAAATGAACAGCAAGGCCTCTGCTTTTTAAAAATCTTATGTATCACACGTTCTTTTGAAAAAATTCAAATGACCCAGGGAGCACACAAGGAAAGGTCCCTGCCTCATCTGCCCTCCACTTCCCTGACCCCACAGCTGCCCACCCCATGCC